ACCTACCACCCCCTTTACCTGTCCTCCCTGAGTCACTTTTACCCCCCCCCCCTCAATGGTTAAAAAAAAAAACAACCTTTTAAGTACTAAGGGATAGAAAGTTAACCCAAACTCCACATGCCACTTTGACACCCCCAGCCTACTGGCTTTGTAGCTGTCCCTTGATGATATCGGGGGATGGGTTTCAGAGCCAACTCAGATACCAAAATCCACTGATTCTCAAGTCCATGATCACCAGCCCACATGTTCAGTGGTTGAAATCCATGAATGTGACGCGCCCATTCAGAGGACTAGTGTACTTATTGGAGAGAAAAATCCATTTATAAGAGGACTGGTGTTGCTCAAAGATCAGATAGAGAAAAGACACCTTCTCCCTAGGTCTCTATTCTTAATACCTGCGTTCTGTCCCACTCTGTGAATGTGCTGATTTATTTTGCCAGACCTACCTCTTAGATTATTCTAGACTTCTTGTATCAATCAGGGATTAACGGTCTTTTTTCTTTTTTGTAGCAAAAAAGACTTGTAACTACTCAACTTCACCTTTCCAGTTTGAAAGCAGCTTCAGATAGTATGTAAATGAGTGGCACGCGGCTGTGTGCCCATAAAACTTTATTTACAAAACCAGGCAGCTTTACACAGACTGTCAGGCCAACCCTAACTATCAGTGACAGAGCTAGAAGTAACTAGCCTTGTATGCGTTTTGGACATAGGTAGTGCTTAGAATTTCTAATTTTGAAGAAGATTGCCAAATTTCTTTCCAAAAAGATCACCTTAATATACACCTGCCTGACAAAAGATGAGACTGTTTCTCCATTTCTTCTCTAGTGCTACATGTTAACATTTTAACCTTAGTCAACAGTGAAACATAGCATCGCGGCTGCCCTTTGAACCTGTTTGTTTTATGTGTAGGAGTATTTTTATATTGCAGAACACCTGTGTACTGGTAATCATGATTATGTTGTTGGTCCCAAACTCCATAGTTCCCGAGATGGAATGTAAAATGGCATCTGTACATAGTGCAAGAAAAGACCAAAGAAAAAGTGAAAGATTCCAGTTTGCTAATTTTTTATAGTTTTTTTCTTAACTATTTATTTATGCATACAAGTGCTGGGGTGCAGGGGGATGAGATGTTTCATCAGAGACAGGATGGGGAGCAGAACCGGCAGACTGACGAAGTACACTGCTGAGGGGAGCAGCGGGCAGGTCAGGAGAGTTCTGCTGTGCCCTGTGGGTCAGCTCCCTGGCCAGGGATTGAACTTGTGCTGCAGTGGCTGTGATAGCTTCATAGTGCTGTAGCTTAACCCGATGCACCACCAGGGAGGCCCCCATAGGTTACAATTTTAATAAGCAAGAGAACTTTCAACCTTGTCCAAGACGGCTATGTATATATCTTCACAACCTGTCGGAATGTTGAATTTATAGAGATAACTTTTTTGTTTTCTTTTTACACTTTAAAAGGACGGGTTTATTAAAAAGGAGAAAACAGGAAGGAAAAGGAGAAACAGGAAGAGGCACCTGCAGAGACACAGGTAGGCAGTCTTGGGACCAGAGCTTGTAACGAGCTACTTTAATGGGGTTCGATGGCATACACAGCTCAGGTGGCCTCAGCCACACTTCTCCCTCGAGGGCTGCCTCTGTCACTGACCTGTACAAAATCAGGCTTGTGTGCCCGACACCTGGTTAAGATCAAACTTACTAGAACGTTGGCACTTGAAGCAGAGAAATGCTGACTGCAAGTCAACAAGCAAGAATGGCAAAAAAAAAAAAAAACGCTCAACTCTACCTTCCCAATTAAGAAAGGAAACGAGGTCACACAGGTTTGGAGGCCAAGGCTGAGAACAAAGAAATTACATTTTACTAAGTGAAAAGCAGGTTGGGGCAAAGAAATGCGGACTTGGCTAAAGTTCATGGCTGGTTACAGGGTGCTTCATCCCTGAAGAGTGAACAGGATCTTCTCCAGCCCTCCTCCGGGCATCCCCTGCCTCCTGCATCTCAGTCTCCAGGCATCCTTGGATAGTCCAACTCAAGGTTGTTGCTAGACCTCCAGCCTTTGCTATGTCTGTAAAAACAACTCTCAAAGGAAAAAAAAGTTTAGCTAAGGGTTTTTTTTTTCCCTCTGTAGTTTCAGAAAGGGAAGTAGGATAACCACAGGAAAAAATGAGTGATGAACAGCTACAAAAAGACAAGTGTGTGCTGGCAGAAAATCGAGGTCCACGGAGGTGGCCAGCTACGAAGTGTCTGTTTCCTTTGGGTTGACATACGGGTGACTCATTTTCCCACCACTGGTGAGGGGTCCGTCCACGGAGGGTCTCCCAGCAGGCGTTGACTACTGGTCTCGTCCCTACTTGGCAAGAAGCCTCATGCATTGAATGGAAAACCCAATGTTCTAGTATTGCAGACTCGTCAGTTGCCTTTCAAACGTGTTTGTGGTATTTAAAAAAATATATAGACACAGAGGAAGTTATAAAAATAGTACGTCTTTTTTGAACATTGTACATAGTCAAACTAGGAAACTGATGGGGATACAGTTAACGAGACTAGATGCTTCAGATTTCATCCGTTCTTACATGTGTGCGTGTATATGTGTGCAAATGTGCGATTCTATTCCACTTTATAACCACAACAGAGCTGCACAGTCACTACGAAGAGGCTCCTGCATGCTGCCTTCTTATGCACACTCAGCCTCGGTTACAGCTCCCCAGCCGTGACATTTTTCTCTTTTTGGACAGCTAGATTTCAGGTGATGATTAGAAAGATTTGGAAAAGGCCCTCCCTGGTGGTGCAAGGGGTTAAGGCGCAGCACTGTGAAGTTGTCTGCAGCCACTGCAGCCTGAGTTCGGTTCCTGGCCAGAGAGGTGACCCACATGGCACAGCAGACCTCTCCTGGCCCGCCTGCTGCTCCCCTCCGCAGTGGATTTTAGTGGATCTGCCTGTTTTTCACCCTACTCTGTCTCCTCCTCTGGCCTCCTCCTCCTACTCTGGTGACTCCTCCTCTGGCCTGTACCCCAGTTCTTGTATTCATAAATAAATCTATAAAAAAGAAATATTTGGAAGAATAATCTCTCCAATTTGACCTTTTTTTGGGGGGGGGGGTGATGGAGAGGTAGGGAGGCAGAAAAAAAAGAGAGGTCAGGGTTCAAAGATTTTCTGAAAACATGCACCCCTCCCCTTCAGTGGGATACTCAGACAGCTCACCACTGCAATCTCACCAGCATTTACTCAATAATTGAATCTTTCTTGGAGACAGGCTGAAGGTCAAACACTGCAGTCAGCTAATAGGAAACGCATCAAGAGAACCGTGCTGTGTAAAACACTGAAGAGAAAGGACTGCAGTCCTCCAATTTACGGAGCCAATTTCTAATGAGCCCCCAGCAGGCAGTAGGAAGAACAAAATATTTCTTTACACAAGCAGGTATTACAATTTAGGACAAGCTGCTGCTGCAGTAAAACAACTCCTGAGTTACCTGCCAGCCACCAGCCTCCTGAGCAGCTTCCTGACCAGCCTGAAAGTGACCTTTATCACCTGTCTTGAGTTTTTCAAAGGGTGCAACAAAACCCAGCTTAGGGTTACCTCTGACATTTCCTCTCTGCGTTCTGTTCTTGCAAGGCAAGAAGGACTAGAAAAAACAGCTTCATCCTCAACACTCCAGACCTCACCATTGTTCTTTTCTTGAAATTCCAGACCACTTTTTTTCCCCCATGTGTGCTTGAAAACTTGGGATTTCATTGGTCACTTTTGAAAATGTTTATTTATTTATGCATATAAGAGCTGGGGTACAGACCAGAAGTGCAGGGGCCATGAGAGAACTCACCAGAGACTAAGTAGGGAGCTGAGCAGGCAGATGGACAAAATACACTACTGAGGGGAGCAGCAGGGAGACAGGAGAGGTCTGCCACGCCATGTGGGCCAGCTCCTGGGTCTGGGATGGAACTCGCACTGAAATGCCTGTGGCTGGCCTTCAGTGCTGCGCTCCAACCTGCTGCACCACCAGGGAGGGCCCTGGTCACATTTTTACTACTAATACTGATAGCACCTGGTACTGAACATTCTTGCTCATAGGAATTTTACCTGCTATTCACTTAATTTTATTTAGTTATTTAATTTTTATTTTGAGGTAGTTTGGGGCTCACAGCAAAGCTGCAGAAATAGCACAGTCTCTTTATATCCTCCAGCTTCCCCTAATATCGACATCTTCTGTTAGCCTGGTACAAGTCAGGTTATTGAGGTCAGAAATTAACACCAATACAACCCTATTATCTAACATTGTCAGAGGAGCCCCAGGGCTCCAGCTCGGTGAAAATCCCCCCTAGCCAGCCAAAGCCAAGGCTTGCAGTGCGCTGGGGCCCAGAGCCCAACACACAGCGTATAGGTGACACTACCGCCCTAATTTGAACCTAGCTGGCACCATTCAGATGCAGAAGAGACAAAGTGAAGAGGGCAGCAGACCAGCACCGGAAAGCTACCTTCCTGCCCTTTAGCAGAGGGGAGGGTATTTCTCCACTGTTATAGGGGACTGAAAGAGTGGGAAGGACAGGCACGTCCACTCTTGCATGCGGGCCATTGTCAAGGCTGGAAGGGACTGCCCTGGTGGGGCAGAGAAAGCCACATACTTTGTTGCCGGCTCACCCTCACCCGCTTTAATCATCACACCGCCTGCCTGCTCCGCCAACTTTCAGAGCCCTCCTCCCTTTCGGGCTACAACTGGACGTTGGCTGGACGTTGGCTCAGTGGGGTCTTCCGTTGCCCTCGTTCCAGCTGGGCAGAGCTTCTCCTCCTCCTTCTCATTGGAAGGCCGGCGGGCCAGTGGCATACATGGCCAGTGAGACGGAGATGACTAGATCGTCGCCCAGAAATGCAGCCCCAGGACCTGGCACACCAGCAATCCCCGGGGGCGCCCAAGCCCCGCCCCAAGATGGCGGCCCCGGCGGGCGGAGGGCCGGGCGCCGCGGGTCACGTGGTCGCGCCTACGCGGACGTGGCCGTCAGCGGCGGGACACGTGTCCCTCGCTGCGCTCCGTCCGTCGCCCCCGCCGGAGGACTCGATCCCAAGATGGCGGCGCCCAGCGAAAGGAGGAGCGTTGGTGGCGGGGGCTGGAGCTTGTGGGCTGCGCTTCTCCTGGCAGCCCTGGCGCCGAGACCCGCGGAGGCGGTGTCCGAGCCCATGACTGTGGCGTTTGACGTGCGGCCCGGCGGCGTCGTGCACTCTTTCTCCCAGAACGTGGGCCCCGGGGTACGTGCTGTCGCCGCCTCGGTGGCTGCAGCTTTAAGGCCGGAGGGGACGTGGCCCCAGGAGGGGGACCGAGCGTCAGTGGCGGAGCTTGGGGAGCCAGCGAGGACTGTCGGCGCCTGGGCTTGAGGCGGCGGCTGGGCTGGGCGCGCTGGGGGCGGGGTCATCAGTGGGAGCGACTGAGCTCTGGAGGTGGGGTCCCCCCCCCCCGACTTGCCTCTTGCCCCAACTCACATCTCAAAGAGCCCAAGCTGCCCTGTTCTCTAGACCCTCGCAGGGCGGACCCAAAGGTGCACGAGGCTGAAGACTCCAGGTTCTTAGAGATCCATCCAGGGTGGCAAGTCGTTGCTTCTTCCTTCCATTGCACAAGATCCCCCATTTTTTAATAGAGGGGTGAACCAGGCCCTCCTTACCTGGAGGTACCAACCTTGTTCCTCAGCTTACTGGGGAAATCGTTTCCTCTGCCACCTTTTCCGGTCTGTTACACAGTTATCTGAAGTCACTTATTTGTGTAGTAATTCCTTATGTGCCAAATGCTTTATATGTTACGCCCATTGTTCACAGGTAAAGAAACAAGCATAGAAAATTTTGCTCGTCCAGACCCACATCAGAGTAGAGATGGACACCTGGGAGTCTGTGTTCTTAAAGGACCCGAAAGGGTGCTATCTCCCCTTTCCTGCTCAACCCCCAGAAGCCACATGGGTTGTTTGTCCTGACCAGGAGCTCAGAAGTAGGGGGTAGGCAGGGGAGTTCTAAGTGTGCAACCACTGGGAGGCCAGCTGAGAGACACTGAGCAGAGGGGTGGGGTGCCCCCTGCTTCCCCTTAGTGCACGTTCTCAAAACGGGAGCTGGGTCTGGAGCTCAGAGACTTCCTGAGGTCTGCACATGAAGCATTGCCCTCTGTCAAGACTTGTGTTCTCCCTTCCTTTCTCCAGGACAGATATACTTGTACATTCACCTATGCTTCTCAAGGAGGGACCAATGAGGTGAGTCATTCAAAATTTCATGCCGGTTACCATCACAGTATCCATTGTCGTACAGGGCCTTGGGCGATGCACGTCTTCATTCACCCTCGTTGAGTATTTCTTGCTTAGCCCTGTAAAAGAGAGAGGACTCAAGTTATAGTGATGGCAGATTCCACAGAGTGAATAAATGTCTTGACAAAGAACATGCGAGGTATGAACCTGCTGTTCTCATGAGCCTCTCTGGAGTATTGTTTGTTTTTAAATGATATTTCTGTAACAAAATATCATAAATTTAGTTGCTTAGAACAACACTCATCTCTTTTCTCAAAGTCCTGGGAGTCAGAAGTCCTCTTGGCTCAACCAGCTGCTTCATGAAGCCAAAACCGCAGTGTCAGCCAGGCTGCCCTCTTGTCCTGTTCTTTGGGGGAGGAGGCCTCTTCTAGACTCTTTCAAGTTGTTGGCAGAATTCTGTTCCTTGCCATGTGGGACTAAGGTCTCTTTCCTTGCTGGCCTTTTTCTCCACCTGGTGGCAGAGGAGGGAGTAAGAGAAATTGCAAGCAAGAGAGGCCACAGTGAATCATTGCTGGCTTTGAGAGCACTGGTGGTGGAGTGTGGGTGATCCGTAGCAGCTGAGAGCGGCCTCCGGCAGCAGGGAACTGCGCTCCGCCAGGACTACAGGCACTGGCCCCCAGGCTCCGGGGGGGACACAGTCTGCCGAAGCTGTGATGATAGTGATGATAAATCTGAGCAAAGACCCCCATGCCAGGCCTGGGCTTCTGACCTACAGAAGTGTGAGCTCATTAGCAGGTGTGGTGTTTAAACTGCAAAGATGGGCCTTGGATCAACAGGAACAGAACTGCTGAGAGACTCAGGCGAAGCTGCTCTGGAGAGCCAGGTGTAGATTCAGGGCACTGAAGAAACAGTGACTCCCAGTTTGGGCTCCCAGGAAGATTCAGAACATGAACACTGGCGGTTTGGAGGGAAGACTTGCTTCACTGACATTCGTGGATGAGTAGGTGTTAGGCGCCGAGAAGGGGTGTGTGGAGTGATGAGGCTACCATTCACAGCGTCTGATTGTGCATGTGAAACACCTACCTGCCTTAGCCCGTACAGTGCCAAAACCAGACAAGTGAACGTTCTCAGTAACCAGAGTTTGAACTTCTAGATATTGACAGTAGGCACGAACATCCAGGAGTTAGACTAAGTCCTGGAAAAGCAGCAAGAACATCTCCTTCCTCTTGACCCTGTTTCAGCCTCAGGCCCCAGCCAGTGCTACATCTGTTGCTTAGCGACAGCCTAGATGTTGAGGTTGTCCCAAGACTATCTGTGATATGTTGGCACAGGAGTTGGCCTAGAGGAGGGGTCACTGCGGACCCCATGCAACTTGGCTGCCTGCAGTATCGTAGAAAATACGAACCCTAAATGCTCATTGGGGGTAACTGTTCAGGCCCTAAGTTCCTTCTCTGTTCCACCTGCGGCAGTAAATGACACAGAAATAAAAATACGGAAGAGTTTGTATCCTGCCACTTTACTATATTTTCTCTAGTAGTCTTTGGATTTTCTATGTATATTATGTCATCTGTAAATAGTGATAATTTTCTTTTCTTTTCCAATTTAGACCCATTTATGTCTTTTTCTTGCCTACTTGCCCTGACTGGTTTTTTCAGCGCTGTGGTGGAGGGTAGTGGTGACAGTGGCCGTCCTTGTCTTGTATCTGTCTTAGGGGGAAGCTTTCAGTTTTTTGATATTGACTATATATTGGTTGTGAGTTTGGTATCTGTGGCCTTTACTGTGTTAAGTTCCTTTTAGTCCCAACTTTTTGAGAGTTACCATAAATGGGTATGGGATGTTGTCATTCTTTTTCCGCATCTATAGAAATGACCATATGAGTTTTATCTTTCTCTTTGTTGATGTGGTTTGATTTGCGAATGTTGAACCAACCTTGCATCCCTGGAATAAATCCTACTTGGCCATGGTGAATGATTTTCTTAATGTATTCCTGGATTCAGTTTGACAAGATTTTGTTGAGAGTTTTGGCAACTGTGGTCATCAGAGTTATTGATCTTTAGTTGTATTTTTTTAATGTTAAAATATTTACTTTGTTTTTAAAAACCTTATCAGCGTTATGGAAAAATTTCCCAGATATATTTCCCAGTGTAAAACTGTTTTACAGTTTGCAAAGGCCTGGGAACCACAGACAGGTGTTTTTTTTAAAAAAAAAAAAAAGTTGAAGCAGCAGGTGTGGCCTATATCTGTTGCTTTGTCTTGCCAGTATAATTGGCTCCTACATTTGTGCTGCAGGCAAAACACTCAGTGACCATTTTCTCCCATTGTAATTAACATAAAAGCTTGAGTCTGTTAATGAAAACCTTTGACATTAAACCGGAAATACCAGTAACCTGGGGACCTTTATTATTCTTGTGTGGGAACTATAATTTTTTTTACTAGCAAAACATAAAAAAACGCCTTAGGCAACCCAGAGTGGAAGAGTAGGCATTCCATTTCCTTTTGGCTAAGTTTTTAGAGGTGATGGAATTAGAATAAACTGATAGAGGTGTGTTTGACACCATTTTTAAAATCTTAGTTTTTTCATTCATTTTCTGAGGTTTTCATGCTTTTTTTCTAAGGTTTATTTATTTATGCATACAAGAACTCGGGTACAGAGGTGTTAGGAGGTGAGAGGTTTCACCAGAGACAGAGTGGGGAGCAGAACAGGCAGATCGACGAAGTACACTGCTGAGGGGAGCAGCGGGCGGGTCGGGAGAGGTCTGCTGGGCCCTGTGGGTCCCTCCCTGGCCGGGGATTGAGCTTATGCGGTAGTGGCTGCAGACAGCTCATAGTGCTGTGGCTTAATCCCTTGTGCCACCAGGAGGCCCTCACGCCTTTTTTTTTTTAAAGCGTTCATATTGTTCATAAAGAGAAACAAAAGGGTGATGGCTCAGCCCCCTTGCTCGGTTCGCACCCACATCCTACATGTGACCACAATTATTAAAATCTCATGTCTGTGCCTTTTTTATGCTTAAACTGACAAGCATGAATAGAGCATCTGCCTTTTTATTTTTATTTTGCTTAATAGACTTTGTTTTTAGGGCATTTTAGGCTCACAGCAAAATTGAGCAGAAAGCACAGAGACTTAATATACCCCTTTGCTCTCCTGCCCACTGGGACACCCCACTGTCAACATCCCCACCACCGTGGGACATTTGTTACACTTAGTGGACCTACACGGACATGTCATCACCAGCCCAAGCCCAGGTTGAGGTTCGGGGGCGTTCTTGGTATTGTCCATACCGTGGGCTGGACAATGTGTGATGTGTGTGAGCAAAGGGGGGACCCGGCCTCGGGGCCAACATGGAAGCCCCAGAAAGCGCCGCTCTCAGGGCACAGCTGGCAGTTCCGAGCCAGCGCACGCACCAGGGCCTGTGTCGCTGACCGGCTGTGCCTTCCCTCTCTTCCCAGAGGTGGCAGATGAGTCTGGGGACCAGCGAAGACCACCAGCACTTCACCTGTACCATCTGGAGGTGAGCCCCGTGTCCTGGGGTACAGTCTTTCCTCGGAAGAGGTCTCGCCGACAGCTGCTGTGGGACTGTGCCTGGGGTGGGGCCCAGCCGTGTTCAGGCGACAGAAAGACCAGGGAAGCCAGACCGTGAGGGCTGCGGCCCCTGGAGGGCGCACTGGCCAGTGGCGTGACCTGCCGCAGCGGCAGCCAGAGGGGCTGTCCGCACCGCTGGGCTTGGCGGGATGGGGAGGGCTCCCCCAGGATGCCGGGCACTGCGGTCCACAGAGGCGGGAAAGTATGTTGCAGGCCGGGGGAGCAGCTCAGGTCAGTAAGTGCTCAGTGTGCACGCGGGAAGGGGCTCGTGGGCCTGCGGCCCCGGGGGCTCCCGACTCGCTGCCCGCCCCCTGCGGCCCCATCGCTGTGGGCTCCGTTGGCAGCCACGGAGTGCTTGCCTTGCCTTTTCCACTCGTACCCTCCTGCCTGGCTGCCTGCGTGGTGGCTGCGTGGTGAGCTGGAAAGGGGTGGCGGAAAGGGAGGGTCGGCCGCGGGGAGTGTCAGAGCCACGGGGAATCGTCCTTTCCCCTGAGGTTCCGTGGCCTGGCATGCAGCGCCCCGAGCCGCACCTACTTCTGGAGCATTTATTATGCGCCTGGAATAGTGCGGACACTTTGGGGGTACACGAAGACATCCAAGCTAAGTTTCCCCTTCAGGGGACTGGAGGCAGCAGGCACACAGGTCAAGTGAAACACCAGTGGAGCACCCTGACGGTGGCATTTAAAGGACAAGCTGTGTTTTAATCACACCCATAGGCGTTGCCCTGCGGCCTGCTCAGTGCTGTACAGGTAGCAGGTGTTTAGCGCAGTTTGAGGGAGACTCTCACCTGCTCTGTGGGACTGCCCCCCCCACTTCCCCCTCAGCAAACAGAGGCCCCGGGGGCAAGGAGCTGGACCTTTGGGATCTGCAGGAGGTCCCGCCTTCTGCATGCCTCTGCGTGGCTGCCTGGCATAGGGCTCGGCCGTGACGGTGCAGAGAGGGACATGCTCCCTCACTGCTCCGGCCCCGGACACTGCACCCCCTGCCTGCTGCCGCACCCCGCCACGGGCTGAGCCCAGTGAGCCAGGCCCTCCGAATTTCAGACCCTCCACTCGCCAGGCCTGGGCGGCCATTGGCGCCTGCAGTCAGTCACACCTCAGGATGTCCCAGTCACCTCTGGACCACGGGAACAGAGTGAATGTCACAATTACGCGAGTCCCTCGGAGGTTTTGGTTTCTTGTGCATGTAAGAGTCGCATTTAACTAGACTCCACGCCCTGTGCCGGGGCTCGGGCAGAAGTGGCCTCAGCCTGTGCCCCCCCCCCCCCCCGCCTCCCTGCCCCGCCCCACCTGTCTGCTCACCACGTGTGAGCACCTGGAGTGCGTCACCCTGCAGAGACCCTGTCCGAGAATGGCTCACACCCACATGGACAGGAACTCAGTACATGGGCTAAAAGAACCTCCCAGCAAAGAGGAAAGAAGGAGTGATGTTAGCAGGCCCCTTGCGTCCTTCCCAGGGGGCAGAGCCTCAGGACAGTTTCCCTCTTGAGAAGCAGAGGGCGCTGCAGCCCGCGGTGTCCCCCTCACACTGCCTTTCTTTGCAGGCCCCAGGGCAAGTCCTACCTCTACTTCACACAGTTCAAGGCGGAGGTGCAGGGCGCCGAGATCGAGTACGGCATGGCTTACGTGAGTGTCGCCGCCCAGGACGCCTGCTGCACGAACTGTGCCTTGCAGACCACAGGTGGGGGGCGGGCAAAATGAGAAGGCAGACGCCAGGCCCCAGGGGTCTGTGTCCCAGGGGCCCTGGGCGGGGCCCGGGCAGACCCCGCTGAGCCTGGAGACGCAGGCCCTGTCCCCAGGACAGGCGCAGGGTCAGCGAGGCAGCGTGGCCCAGAGGGCCGGGAAGGCGCCGTGGCCTGGGCTCAGTGGCCCGCGCACGCCCTGGGAGCCCCTCCTGCCTGGCTCCGGGGCTGCGGCCCTCCACCGGATGCCTCTGCCTCCCGTCTGGGTCAGAAGCGGCTGTGCCGGTGCCAGGCAGCAGGGCCAGGGAGACGGAGCCTGGGGCAGGGGCTGGCTGCTGCTGGGCGGCCGTCCCTGCGGGTCGGTCAGGGAAGCTCAGCTGGGCTCCGACCCTCCCCGCTGCGGGGCTCGGCCCGCGCAGGCAAGTCCGCTCGCGAGGGACTTGCCGCGCCGCTGCAAGGGTGGCTGTCGGGCCGGGACCCGGGCGGCCTTCGCACTGTGGATCCTGCTCCCTGCAGCCCCTTCTCACCGTACAGCCTGCTCCGGCTGGCTTGGAAGAGACAGTCCCGTTCTGAAGACTACATTTGAGCAGCTGCCCTGTTTATATCACTTTCACAAGTTAGTAACTAAAGGACAAACTGCTCACGGCCTTCCTCCCGGATTTGCATGAGGTTTCGCCGGCCCACGGTCTCGAGCGCGCCAGCCGGCCCTGCTCTGCGGCTCTCTGATGTGTTCAGAGAAGGGGCCCTGCCTCTCCGTGACAGGGCGCGGGCGCCTGCCGCTCTGGAAGGCGACCGCCTGTCCCTTCCCGACTAGGAAGTGTCCGCTTGTTCTCTTTCAGTCTAAAGCTGCTTTTGAGAGAGAGAGTGATGTGCCTCTGAGAAGTGAGGAATTTGAAGTGACCAAAACAGCAGGTAGGGGAAGCGGGTTGTAGAGCCCAGCAGGGAGGTGGAGGGGAGGGAGGTGGCGTGGCACCGTCGGGGGCCCCGGGCACCCCAGCCCCACGTTCCAGCCCAGCACCTGCAGGCTGCCTCTGTGAAGGGCCTTTCGGCTCAGGAGGCAGATGGTGTCTGTTGAAACGGCCCAGCCGTCCCCTGGAGGTCAGTGAAGGGCTGTGGCTGCAGTCTAACAGAATGTTGTTTACCAACACAGAAATGTGATTTTCCTGTCACTCTCCCCTATCACCAAACATGGTTGCTGTTTTTAATTTTTGTTAAGGTTTTCTGAAAACGTAGAAACTGCCCTTAGCTCACGGGCAGTGGCCACACCTCGCCAAGCGCTGACGGAGAACTGAGTGCAAATCCACACTCGAGGCCCCACGGCCTTTAGCAGGCATTTTGGGGGCGGCAGGGGGTGGTGGCGCCTCGGCCGGCTCTGAGCAGGAACAGCACCGATACTCTGAAGTAGAAAGTGTCAGTGTGGTGCGGCGGGGTGTGCCAGGAAGAGATGGGGGCTCCCTCCTGCGGTCAGAGAGTCCCCATGGGAGCCACAGCCAGCCTCAGGGCAGAGGGCAAGCAGAAGGGCATGGGAACCCAGCGCTGGGGCTCAGCGTGAGAATAAGGGGGTAACACAGTGACCGCAGGTGTAGAGTATGGGCTGGTGTGAAAGTCCCGGGGGCCGCGGGGCAGAGACGAGGCGGAGGAAGGGCCCCGGTGGCTGTGGACATCCCCGGACGTGGCAGTGGAGGGGAGGGCCAGCACGAGGAGGCCTTTGGGAAGACAGCCTGGTGTGCAGGGAACCTTCCCTGAAGGCCCTCGGAGGAGTGGTAAAGACAGATGCCAGTGGTTGGACTCTGAGCCCCGGGGCTCGCAATAGAAGGGGAGGCGGGCGGGGAGCAGGAGCCGGCTGAGGCGGGGACCCCTGGCCCTGACTCCTGCCCAGAGGTCTGTGAGTGTGAGCAGGAGGCAACAGCCCCACCCCTTCTCATTGTGGCAAACCTTGACCTTACCTCTGGCCTCTCTGCCCTCAGGACAGCCTCCAGCCTTCTCTGTCCTCCAGGGCCAGGGCTTTCCGCCTGGAGTCCATCCGGGACAGCGGAGGGGTGTTGAAGGTTCGTCCATATGTTTCTTTTGCAGTGGCCCACAGGCCCGGGGCATTCAAGGCTGAGCTGTCCAAGCTGGTGATTGTGGCCAAGGCGTCCCACAGTGAGCTGTGACCGGGAGCCCTGTTCAGGGCGGCATCACCTCATTTATGCTGAAGGAGCCAGCACCCGAGAGGACTGGTGTATTACTGGTTTTCTAGAGAGTCTGAGTTTTTGTCCTGACTGATGTCACCCTGAGTGAAGGGTTCGGACCAGCTAAGGCCTGGAATGGCATCCATTGGGCCGGGATGTGCCGGCCCAACCCTGCCAGGCTCCTCCAGACAGTGGACCGGGACACGTGGGCTGTGGGGCTCTGGACTCCGCTCAGGCCAGCGTGTGCCTCCCCGTGTATGAGCCAGGCTCCTGGATGCTCCCTGGGCGAGGATTCCTACAGACCTCTGACCCCACGCTGACTGTTTTCTTACAATTTACTCAAGGGACCGCCTTTCAGCCTGGGAAGAAATGAAATGTTCTTTCATATTTAAATAAATAAGACATTAAAAAACAACCCACAGTCTTGGTGTCTGGCGCCTGCCTGGCTGAGCCGGGGGCCCAGAGATAGCAGTGGAGGGGCGGGGTGGGAGCCAGCCGCCCACACGTCCCTTCTCTTGGAGGCGGTGAGCTGTGTCGCCCTGGGCAGGTGGGCTCTGCAGGCGTGGCCGCACGCACTAGCCCCTGGGCCTGCGCCTGCGCGTCCCTGAGCTGTGGGGACGGAACCGGCCACCCGGCAGGTCCTGGCGACCAGTAGACGGCGTGTGCTCGGGGCACGCCTGCTTGGTTTTGCTTATTCCTGAAGCTGGATTCTGTACGGTCACTCAAAACCCACAGACAAACCGAAATAAACTCCAGTATCTCAGCCACTGACCAGGTGCGGGGGGCCTGGGTGTCTGACTGGACCTTCAGCCTGCCCCCCAACCTGTCTTCTCACCAACAGATGAAGGGGGGAACCGGGCTCTCAGTGGCTGCAGGGGCCTTGCCAGTCGGGATCACCGTGTTGGCTCCCCAGAGGCCGCCGCGCCCTCCCTCGTGCCAGCTGGAGCTGCTGGTGCCGCTGTGCGACCTTGGGGCAGAGCCTCCTTGCAGCGTGAGGCCGTGGGAAACGCATCAGCCTCCCACCCGGGGCCACGGGCGGAGATGCTCCCGCAGTCAGCCTCCAGCCCCGGGGGGGGGGGGCAGCACACGGGCCTCGCCAGCGCCTCGACACAGGAGCCCCCCGCCCGCGTGACGGGCACACGTGCACGCGCCCTTATGTGACTTTCTGTTCAGCTCGAGGATGAGGCCGCCCTGGCCCTGGGCGCTGTGGTTGGGATGCAGAGCTGCGCAGAGGCCCGCTGGGCACGCAGGAGCCCGGCTCCGCGCCCGGTGGCGCAGAATTGAACCTGTCACCAAGGGCCACGGGCATGTGACATTTACGTGCATCCTTGATTTAAAAAGCAAAAGCCCCAGGAGGGCGGGAGAGAGCTGTCAAGCGGCGCCAAGCGATGCAATGTCCGTTTCCGTGTCATGCAAATGGGAGATGTGCACATTTATTTAAACACATTCTGTAGCGCTCTTTGGTGGCTTTAAATTAAATCTCAAATTTATGAAAAGATCGAGACAGACAGGACAGCCCAGCGGGGAACAAGCACAGATTGCTATGCACGTTGACATACTCAGTCAGCAGAGGCAAGGGCAAAGGATTTCATCTGGGGCCTGTTGCTGTAATCAAACGCGCATTCGCTCCTGAATTCGAAGCTCTGTCTCTTGACTAAAGACAAGGGGACATTTACCTGTACAAGGGTGGCAGAGGTAGGAGCAGCTGGCAGTCGGGTGAAAGCCTTTGGCTTTTTCAGGAAGCCAGAAACCAACCCACAGGACAGCTGCCCTGCACCTGGGTCATCTGTCAGCCATGGGGTGTATAACAGCACAGGGGTGCAAAATGCCATGGGGGCCCACGGCAGGCATCAGGGCTCAGGTGTGTTTCTGAGAGACGCTCCGAGTAGCAAATGGTGTGCAAGTTCTTCGTTTTTAATGTTGGCAAATAATTCCAAATGTCTCAAACACTAGAGGAGGCCAAGCAACCGCATCTTCTTCCCTAATATGGCCACAGGCCTCCTGTGGGTAACCTTTGCCCTAAATAGGCCTGGTTCTGCAAACAGACTGGTGTTTTCCCCGAAAACAAAAACCAGTCACGGGACATCATTTTCCCCTCCTCTAGGGCCCAGAGTGACCTTCCCAACCCTGACGGTGGCCAGACCACAGCAGTGTTTTGCAACCTTTTAAAACCAATGTCTCCTTTTGACAAACAAATAGGAAGTACATTCACAAGTGGTCTGAAACAGGTGTGTATTCTGAGAAAGGCATCACTAGGTGATCATCGAGTGAACATCACAGAGGAGAATGACTCAAGCCTCAGTGGTCCAGGCCACCTGATACAGCCAGTCGGAGGCCCCATGGTGTATGTGGTCCCTCAACATGGCTAATTGGTGCCCGACTAATTACAACTGGCCCCTGAACAACATGGGTTTGAGCTGCACAGATCTGCCTCTCTGCAGATGATTTTTACTCCTTAGACTCGGCATCATGAATTTACCCACCTTGGCCATCAGTTGGGATCCTGAAACCAATCCCTGGTGGATACCAGGGGATGACTGTAAAGTCTCGGGGAGTCAAAAATTAAACATGGATTTGGCTGCAAAGAGATCCGCGCCCCTGACGCTGCCCTGTTCAACTGTCCAGCTGCCATGACACCCTATGCCCCATAGACACATCCACAGGGCCTGGGGGTTGCTGGTGAGGACTTCAGAGACGTGTCAGAGGAAACACAGTTCACCCCATAAACACTTCTGGTTCACATCATCCTGTGTGCAGGAATGAAAAAGCCCAGGTAACAATATTAAGTGGCAAGTACCAGTTACGGGATGACAGCAGGTGCTCGGGGGTGCAGAGGGGCCCCCCCAGGGTGACGCGGTTCAGGAAGCAGGTTGGCGGGTGTGAGCAGGCCGTGACTTCGAGGTGTGTGGGGGCTGCGGCTGTGCCTGTCTCGCTGCCGAGTGGAGAGGCAAAGGACCCTCAGAACTGCTTCCCAAGGTTCAGCATCCTCGGAAGGGGCCAGGTTATCTTTCTGGGGGAGAAGTCAGCTGCAGTGGCACTGAGAGAAACGGTGGAAAAACCCGCAGCCCTGGTCCGCAGCCCTGGTCCGGAGCCCCGCAGGGAGAGCAGGGGCACAGGTCAAAGGCTGCCCTCGTCCAGCATCTTGGTGAGGCCTTCGCAGATCCTGCGCAGGTGGGAGCGGTAGGGCTCGGCCGGCCCGTAGAGCGCCGCCAGGAAGTCACAGTCCGCGAAGTGGCCGAACACGTGGTTGATGCGGCCGTGGGACTTGGTGGTCAGGTGAGGGCCCACGGCCTGGTGGAGCAGGTCCCGGCACTCGTGCAGGCCGGCGGCCAGCACGCGCCGGTCGAAGGTGAACTCCACCTGGTGGAAGCTGACGGCCGTCATGGCCAGGCGGCGCGCCTGCTGGCGGAAGCGCTGCAGCAGCGCCAGCTCCTCGCGGCCCAGCTGCCCCCCCCGCAGCAGGACGCCCAGCTTCACGGCCACCTTGACCAGGTTCTTGACCACCTTCTGGGCCTCTTTGCGGCTGCGGGTGAACTCCTTGGTGGCGCGGTACAGCTCGTCCAGCACCTCGCTGCTCGTGTCGTCGATGAACACGGCCACCACGGCCTTGGACGCCATCTTGCTCAGGAGCTTCTTCTGCGCCTGCAGCGCCAGGTTCTTGGTGCTGAACGTGTCCATCGGCCCTGCGGACAGAACAGACCCTCAGCGGTGCCCGCGGCCCAGGGCTGGGCGGGGCTAGCCTGGGCGGGCCCCTTGGCCGCCACTGTCTCCACAGTATGTGAGGCCGGTGCACACCCACGGGAGGTTGGGGCGCAGCGGGACCACGCCCAGGGGGCACGGGTTGGGGCCGGCCGGCCGCAGCGTGGACAAGGTGGGCCAGCAGCCGCTCCGGAGGCCGCGTTGCGAATGGTGGGGCAGGGAAGCTGAAGAGCCCCGAGCACAGGCGCCCCAGTGGGTCACGGGCCTAGGCAGGCCCGGAGGAAGCACGGGTGAGAAACTTGGGGTGCACATCTCAGGGTGAGAGATGTGTGAGCCTAGAAGAGGGGAGCTCTGAATAGTGGCAGCTATAGCACACAGGACCAACAGCCTCCCACTGGAGAGAGTGCTCAGGGTCTCAGAGGAAATTGTTCCTTAAAAGAGAAGGGTGCACTCCCATGTTTATTGCTGCCTTCTTTACAACAGGACAGACATGGAAACAACCCAAATGCCCAAAAGTAGATGACGGGATTAAAAAGACGTGGTACATATACACAATGGAATATTACTCGGCAACCAAAAAAGATAAACTCAGGCCTTGCGCAGCAACGTGGTGGAGCTAGAAGGGATCACGCTTAGTGAGATAAGCCAGAAAGAAAAGGAAAATACCGGATGGTTTCACTCATAGCAGGGGCATAAAGGACCAGGGGAGAAAACAATAATAATGATGACCAGTCATATACGGAGGTGGGGTGGGGAGTGGGATCCAAAATGGGGGGGGGGGGGGGGTTCGGGGGACTTTGGTGATGGCACACGGGTGATTTGGTGATGGGATGCCCAAGGGGATTACAACTGAGATGGGAAAGGCACAAAATGATGGGAAAATAAACTATTGTAATATTTTTAAAAATCAAAGAGAGAGAGAGAAAGGTGCTTGAGGCCCCTCCCTGGTGGCAACGCGAGTCAAAGCGCAGGACAATGGAGCTGTCCGCAGCCCCTGCAGCTCCAGTTCCTTCCCCGGCCAGGGGGTGGCCCACGTGGCGTGGCAGACCTCTCCTGACCCGCCCGCTGCTCCCCTCAGCAGTGGACTTCGTCAACCCGCCTGTTCTGCTCCCCACTCTCTCTCGGGTGAATCCTCTCACCCCCCACACCTCTGGCCTGCACCCCAGTTCTTGTATGTATCAAAATAAATAAATCTTAAAAAGAGGGAGAGAAGGGTGCTTGAGTCAAAGGAATTAATGCAATTGGTGAAATCTGAACAGGGAACCCCCCTACTCGTGAGCCCTGGTAGCAACCCCCCAAACCTGTCATTTCCTTGCTGTGAGCAGGGAAGGAGCTCAAAGGGGTTTCCTCAGAGGGTCCAGCTTGTTCTCCACCTCGACCTGCTGCCTGGTGAGACAGGACCCCACACGCACTCTGGCATGTGGAGGGAGAGAAGCCCGGTCACTGTGGCCAGTGCTCCAGCGCCGAGGCTCACAAATCGGGCACGTGAGGTCTCGGGCCAGAGCGAGTCAGCTGGGCAGCGGCCCGGGTGAGGTTCCCCAGAGGCCGTGTGGGGGTTTGTGGAAACGCTTTGCAGCAGGGACTCTTGGGGACAGAGACGCTGGCCTGCGACAGCGCCCGCCCGGGAGAGTGGCCGAGGCAGATGGCAGGTGGCGCAGGAACACTGACCAGCCTCTGACTACAGAAGTCCTGTCCACCCCTCGCACGGCTCCTGCGTCCTTCCTGCGTGCCAGTCTCTCAGATTCCCCAGGCCCTGGAGCCTGGCGCCTCCCACGCCGACCACCCGCTTCCCGCAGTGCCAGCACGTGCATCTGGGCATAGCGCTTCCCACCTGGAGCCAGCTGGCAGCTCCAGAGCTCCAGCCCCACACTGCAATGGAGCCCCCCGCCTCTCCCTGGGGGTCTCCCCTACCGCCTGCAAAGCCCCCACGCTCCCGCCTCTCCCCTGGTGGAATCCAAGAGGGCCCCGCTAAGCCCCTGCCTGCCTGCTCGGCCAGATTCACCCCGCAGCCTGGCCTGGACCCCCGTCTTCCGGGAAGCCATCCCTGCACAGCCAAACTGACTGTGGACCCCAGGGCGCCCAGGCACCCCACTCGCTTCCCACTGGCCTGCCTCACTCCAGGCCACGAGCGAGGGAGGAAGTGGGTCTCATTCCTTATCTGCTGTCTCCTTGGAAACCAGAAACATCCGCTGAATGAAGACGGGGGTGAGGGCGGCCTGCGATCCACCCCCAGCTCTCCCCGCTGCCCCAAGAGCTGGTCGGGATCCACCCCCCACACCCATCCGGCTGCCGGGCCAGGAATGCCATGTGGGCGCCTGCTCACCCTGGGGTCCCCCACAAAGCTGGTCTTTGTGTGAGCTCAGGCCCCGAGAGAAGTCCCAACCCTCAGCCGCCCCGTTGCTTGTCCTCAGAGGTCAGGCCAGGCACGGGGTTGCGGCCTGTCTTCCTGCCTCCGTAGCAGCCACCAGACCCCAGGGCTATCAGGCGTGGGCCAGAACAGGGGTGCCAGTGGCTCAGCACCACGTGGCAACCCCTAAGCCACCAGCGCGGCCCATTTGTCATTTCCAGGTATTGAGCTGGTTGTTTTGCAAAATGAAATACAAAAGCTGAGAGAGGCCCCAGCCCCAAGGCCACGCAGCAACACGTGCCTGCTGATGCCCCCTGCCTTTGTACCCCAAGCTCTCTTCGACTTTCCCAGCGAACACCCTCCCTGAGCCCCATTTTTTAATGCTGCTCTAGGCTTTAACCCTTGTGTCAAGCAACACAGCCAACTGCCCCATGCCTCATCTCCTGCCCTAGGCAGGATCAGTGGGTGATCCCAGTGTTTCCCAAGCTGTGCGCTTCTCAGGAAAGGCTGGCCCCTGTCGGGAGCCCTGACATGCAAGGCCGTACTGTTCACGGCTCCCCAAGTGTGCAGACCTACTGCTCTGGACTTCTCCAGAACACAACACATCTTCTGGAACACCCCATTTCTTATCCAGCAAACCCCTGCTCACCCTTCAAGTCTCTGTGTCCTTGTCACTTCCTCCTGGGAGCCTGCCCAGATTGAAGCCCTCAGCTCCCAGGTTCACTCCATGTCTTGGATAGCCAGCTCAGGGCCTGCTACTCAACAGGCCCCTAGGGAGGATTTTGTGAATGTGTCAGGGACAGGGTGTATGCAAACATCAGGGGGAGAAGAGGGAATTCCCAGTGGCACCTTGGGCCTAGTCTCCCCAGTTAACAAGCTGAGGCTTAAGAGGGAAGACCTGTTTGAGTCCAGAGATGAGGCACCTGGACCACCAGGGTCCTGGAGCCCAGATCTCTCAGCCTATCTTGGTTGCTGTGTAACCTTGGGCAGGGCTCTGGCCCCCTCTGGGCTTGACTTTCCCACCTGTTGCTTCAGGAAGGGAGCAACGTCTAATTACTGGTTTCAGGTAGGGCCTGGGCTGCCCACTGAGCAGCTCCAGGGGGAGGAGAAAGGGAGGGACCGAGGGCAGCTGTGCTCTCCTCCCCCAGCTCTGGCCTCCACACCCCTAGCCCCCCCAGGACAGCCCAGCTGCAGCCCGCGCCCCTGACCCATTGTTCTGCCAGAAACCCCCTATCCAAGCAGCTGCTGCTCTCCCTGGGGAGCAGGCCAGGGACCAAAATAGACCTCAGCCTTCCTTCCTGCCTGCTCACCCAGGCCTGAGGGCAGGCAAGCCAGCGCCCACTACGCCACATCAGCCCTGCGAGACGGGGCTTTCCCAGGGACTGTGAGGCGTTCTGGAGATGAATGTCCGGTGTTCCGGGTCCCTGCACACCAGGTGCTTGAGCACCCCACTGTCATCAGAAGCCCACTCAAAGGCCCTCTTTGGTTGTGAGTACAGCACTGTGAAGCTCTCCACAGCCACTGCAGCACAAGTTCAATCCGCAGCCAGGGAGCGACCCACAGGGCACAGCAGACCCCTCCTGTCTCCCCCCTGCTCCCCTCAGCAGTGTGCTTCATCAATCTGCCTGTTCATCCATCCCCTGTTCTGGTGAATCCTCTCACCCCCATACCTCTGGTTGGTACCCGAATTCTTGTATGCCTAAATACATAAATCTTTAGCAACAATAAAATCAAAGACGATGGCTAAATGGCTAATAAGAAACTAAAAAGATGGGCCATGTGATTGGCCTTTAGGGAAATACAAGTCGGAATCATAATGAGACACCACACCACCCCCACCGGGATGGTGAGTCTTAAAAACAGACGATAAGACATGGAGTGAGTGGCATTTGTCTACACTTCAGGTGGGAATAGAAAACGAAGCAGTGAGTGCAGAATCAGTGGGGAGTTCCTCAAACAGCTAAACACATGACCCGACAATTCCACTCCTAGGTGTCTGCCCAAGACAGATAACAACATATGTCCACACAAAGACCTATTCATGCATCTACATGGCACAATTCACATAGCCAACGTGTCCATCCACGGTGGAATATTATTCAGCCAAGAAAAGGAGCAAAGCTCTAACCCACCACAGCGTGGATGGTCTTGAAATCATGACATGCAGGAGAGAGGCCAGACACCCAAAGTCACAGAAAGCGTGAGTCCACTGATGGGAAATGTCCAGAACAGGCACAGACACTGAGACAGGGAGTGTCTTCATAGTTGCCAGAGGCTACGGAGCGGGAAGGAAGCGAGACTGCTAACAGGGACAGGGCTTCTTTGTGGATGGTGGGATGCTCTGAAATTCGAACACTTGAAAACAACGAATTGTATGGCATATGACATTGATCTCATCTAGCTGACCACTTACATACAATTATGCCTCATTTTTTAGTATTAAATTGTTTCAATTAAAAATCAAAATTTGGTCGACCCGTAATACAAACAGAAATGAAGGGAGTGTACAGGGAGTGGACGGGTCGAGGCTCGTAAATCTCGAGGTTTGTTGCCGAACACCCAGTCGGTGTCGATACAATCACGAGCCGCTTAGCAGCGGGCGTGGTGGGAACCAGCGTCGGTGGGTCAGCCAACACA